ATCAAACAAGATCTGGACGCCTTGGACTTCACTCTGAGATTTCAGGATCTGACAAAGGGCAGTAAACAAGGGAGGCGCCTGCAAACTGTTTTGTTCTCACCTTTTCTAGTTTGTGCATCTGGGAAAAGTCGTTCAAATTGTTAGAAGGTTGATGGGCAGGCAACTCCTCGACAGTTTCATCACGAGTCATCTCGAGTGGAAGCACTTCTTTCATCGTGTTGAGCTAAAGGAAAGCAATTAGATGCTTGTCCAAGTACACAAATCCTCACTCACCCAAATGCTGCGCCATTCGCGATCATCTCCATCGTCAATGGGTGGAGCGTATCCTCTGCTAGCTCTGGCCCATGCCGCTACCTCTCGATCTTCCTTTTTCAAATCCAAATCAAATCCCCGATTCAAGAATTTTTCATAATCCGCAATCGTAACTGGATCCAAGGCGGCTTTGGCTTTGTACTCGGCAAACATTTTCTTGACGAGAGGCGATTCACTCTGGCAAGAAAAAAATAAGCCATACGGCCTTGAGGAATACAGAATCTCCTCACATTTTCTCTCTGAGACTCCGTGCGCGACGCGGGCTTGCGCAGTCCCAGCGTTTGACCGACACTGCTGACGAGGGTTTGGAGACGATCTGACCGCGCAACCACAGCTTGCACGTGTCCAGCATTCATCTCCGCAATAGCTTCGAGCGAAGCAGCAATGTTGGGGCTGCTCGGATAGCGTGGCAAAGGGGGAGGGGTCGCAGGAGTCGATGCGGGCGCGGTCAAGAGCCGCGCGACGCGTTTAGCGTGTTCTTGGTTACTGATACGACTCCAGACACTGGGAGAGAACTCGTCAACTAGAGTCTGGAGAGACGTGGCCAGTTGTGTACGTGGGGACGGGTCGTCGCTTGTGTGGGCCATTGGAAGAGAGGGTCACAGTCACGTGAAGCGCGTCGGTTCTCTTTAACCTGACAGTCACGTGCGGTTTCACTGGCTCCTTTGAACGAGAAAGTTCGTGTTAGCCCTGACGGTACAGGTGTTGGCTATCTATATATGTATACTACATACCTAGCTATTTGTCGCTGCGTGAGATGCTACGTCTTCGGACGTGATTTGGCAATGAAATACGAGAAGCGGTTTGTCCTGTTTGTCCTTTTTAGTCCAGAACACGACTCTCTCGTAGGTCTTGTCCTTCTTGGCCAGACAATCGTTGAGCTCTTTCTCTGTGTTAAAGTTGGTTTTAACGACACATTTCCGTAAAGGCGTGCCGTCTCCCACTTGGACGAACGCGTTGAACATCTGAATTAGGTATTTGCAGAGACGTTTCTTGGTGAATCCTCCAAAACGCTGCCTAGCGTCTGGTGGGTCTTCCCGATAGCGCACGCAGTAGCAACACATCTGCATAGTCACCTCCTACTCCAGTCAGAAAGAGCTGAGCTATAAGATAAAAATATTTACCAGCAGAACTTTGCGAAAATTGTCGTTGGGATGAATACCAGAACAAACGCCCTCTGTGGCGTCCACCAGGCGTTGAAACTCCCATATTTTCCGCCAGACATATTCCAACTCGTTGAATCTGGGCAGATGAATGGGGAGGGCGCCGTCTGCGTCCTCAATCTCATAAGCCTCGCGATTGAGGGCGGGCATTAGAACGTTGTAAGCGATGAGGGTCATCAACTTGCGCAAGTTCTCGTTGTCTGTGAGATTCAGGACGTCGATGGGTTCCAGGTTCGCTTGTAATTGGGCGTTTAGTTGGCGTATCAGAAGACGACACAAGAGCCAGTCGGCTTCAGAATTCTCCACATTGGTGGCCAAGTAGTTGCTGAAAACTTGATGCAACTCCGCAGCCACCAGACGGTCGACACAAGAGATGGGGAACGCGTGATATCCCGTCGCCACGGTATCTTCTGATCCCAGAACGTAGTGGTGGATACATGGTCGCATGAAACTAGAAAATTAGATCGTCAGCATGCTGTGATTAAAACAGAAGAGACCCCTTACAGGAAGGAATTCCGACGCAACACTACGAATTCCATGCAGTACTGGCCTTTATTTGGCTGGTCACAGTGCCAATTGTGCAAGAACTGTGACGACCACCACTTGAGTGTACTCGAGTTTGGTTCCTCATTATCCGGCTCCGCCATTAGCTCGTCTGTCAAGGGACATACGTCATTGGCGATTGCCCAGATTTTTTCTCCAGTGGCGACGTGAATAAGGGTACTACCCATTACGTCCATGTGTTGATCACTTTTCGTTCCCGCGTTGCCCGCGATGAACCAGTTCAATGCGTTCCTGGGAAGATCCACGGGAGACAGCTCTGGAATGTGACTCGTTTGGATGAGAGCGTCGACGTGGCTGCTTAGTGCCCTAAATTTGGCAGGATAAGCAATTTCCTCGTGAGGCATGGGATTAGACAGCGCATTTAGGCGAGGCGTCCCGTTTTGGAAAGCCGGGCAGGGAATCAGACGACCGATGCGGTCCGCAAACATCCCTGTGAGGCCGCTTTGGATGTAACGGTTGTCTGTACATAAAAGTTTAGCAACTCAGAGTGCTGAATACTACCCAGCACGCACCTTGGATATCAACGATCGCCTCGAGTGAAGTCAGCCGCTCCAGCATCCTTTTAAACCGGGGGTCATTCTCATCCGGACCCTCTACTACCAGTATCGAACGGTCGGCGAATATCTGTAAGATACATTCATCCGACAAGGACTCCAGGTCCTTGAAAGCTATGACAAATAGCTCTGATCTGCGCGCTTCCTTGGGAAGGTCTTGGGAGCGGGCAGACGCGAGAAGATGCAACGGCTTTTTCATTCCGTCGACATCTAGGCCTTGAGGGGCATTTCTGAGGAGTTCCTCTAGTAGTTCTGCTTCCTTTGCTCAAAAGTTAGTCTCCGAGTGACGATTAATAGCTGAAAAACTTACCTCGGGGGTCCGGGCGTGCCAATCATACAGAGTGGTATTGTCGTCTGCACAATACCCCGAACTATTCGGAAGTTGTAATCTGACCTGTACGGGTTCGTCCAGAAATGGCTTCTGATCCAGGTTAGCAGCGCAAACTGTGCTGGAAAAGCAAGTACTTACAGGTAGACGGGCCATGAGTGTAATCAGCTTGTCATTTGCCACTTGGAACGACTCTAGCTGTTGCTCTTTCTGAGGTATCTCCTTTGTCAGCTTGTTGATTCGCGTACGCTTCTTGGCAGTGAGCTTCGTCTCGGCTTGCTGCAGTTGCTCGAGTTCCTGTTCCTCGGCTTCAATCTCAAGCTTCAACTTGTCGATTTGAGTTTGTTTGGTCGAGCGTTGGACCTCTAGTCGCTGCCAACGCTTGACTTCCTCCACATCCCTCAGGCCACCCTTTTCCTTGTGGAACCTGAGAGCCCTGGAACTTCTTGACTCAACAGTCTGCAAGGGTGGTCGAGGATATACGGCGAATATCGGGGCAGAGTCATCCGTTTGGAAATTATAGGGCTCAGCGATGAATTCAAAGTCTCCAATTTGTATGGTGAGTACTTTTTTCTCCTCATCCTCCTCAGATTCTACGTCGGGTTCAGAATCTGGGTCCTCTTCTCCCCCGCGTCCCTTGGATTTACCTTTGGATTTGCCCTTGCCGCCTGGCTTGGGTTTCCCAGGTTTCGGTTTCCCAGGTTCAGGTTTGGGCGGTTTGGGCGGTTTGGGCGGTTTGGGCAGTTTGGGAGGTTTGGGAGGACTGGCGGGCGGCTGTGTAGAGGGGGGATCATCGGGACTGCCGTTGGGATTGGGATTTACTTGTCCGTCCGGTTTATCGCTGTCAGGGTTGTCTTGTCCGTCCGGTTTTTCACCTCCCTTCTCACCGTCGGGAACAGGTCTGGTGTCGGGATTGTCTTGTCCGTTGGGATTCTCCTCATCGGGAACAGGTCTGTCTTGTCCGTTCGGATTCTCACCGTCGGGAACAGGTCTGCCTTGTCCGTCGGGATTCTCCTCATCGGGAACAGGTCTGCTGTCAACTTCGCTGGGCTTATCAGACCTATCCAGTTCCATCGGCGTAACGCCTACAGGTAGGACGCTCTCCGAGCTGCCGTCCAGTTTATCACCTGCATTCTCCCCGTCAGGCACGGACTTGCCAGTGTCCTCATGTAAATCGGAACCAGAGTGGTTCAGTGGTCCGCTTGGATTATCAGCGATATCCACTTCCATAGGCGCAACGCCTCCAGGCTGAACGGGTGGATCATCCTGGTGAATATGCTTAGCAGGAGGTTCGTCGCTACTGCCGTCCACCAAATCTATGGAGCGTTTGACGGGAACTGAGACTCCTACTTCTGGCAGATCTGTGTCATTGTCCGGCATTTCCTCCACCTCAAGACCGAACCAAGCCTTTTCTTGCACGTCGGATATTCGATTCGTGTGCATCACCGCTCGCCACAGTCTACGGAGATGGGACCAGTGCTTCGACTTCTGCAGCTCTGAGAAGATCAGGGCGGGATGGAATTTTCCCTGGACGGAGTCCCATGTCAGGTTCCAGATCACAGCTTCCATGTGCGAGATGAGCGTCTGTGGAGAACTGCGATATTTCAAGAGACGATTTAACTAGGATCGATTAGTGTAAGCTCATAGAGGACGTTAAGACAACTTGCATCCAAGACAACTGATTCCGTATGAAGACCCAAGTACTCGCTTCGCAGATTGTTGTTGTCGTTCACGATGTTGACTATGCTGCTTCCCAGCACAACCGCGAGGGGCCCAGAAAAGGCTGCGTTTAGCCGTGACATTTGCCACTCGTCTGGCACCGTCAAGCCTAATAATCCATGGTATTGTACGACTCCCTTGCGGCACCCGTGGCTGTAGCCTGTTTCAATCATCCCCGGGAACTGCCAGAAAATCCGATTCCATCATCCCTGTGTGTGTTGCCAGGTCTCTGACAACACTCAAACCCCACCCGTTTCCGTGCTTCCTTGCCGCTGATCTCCGAACTCCGCTTTATCCTGCAGCTTTGATATCATCATTACGACTGATTTGGTCCGAATCATACAATTTTAACATTGTTCTCTACATTCCCTCTGCCATAAATGTTCCCTCTAATATTTCCCGCTCCTCCTCTGCTGCCCAATGACGGACAGCAGCTCCCATTGTTTTGTCCCACTCCTCTCGAAAGCGCACTATAAATTCAGTATGCAGGTACACGTTACGCAGCGCATAAGCTCGGATTCCAGCCGCCGTCGTTCCATCAACGTCTGAACGAACTTCGTCGGCTCGTTTTTGCCATTCTGAAGCCTCCCACTTCAATGATCGCATGACCCGCTTCATCTCCTCTCGCAACAATTCAACCTCCTCGTTCCAGCGTTCCTTCCGTGCACGTGCTTTTGCCCACTCGACACGCATAGCTATGATACCACGTTCAACCGAAAGCAAATGGTCAACAAGCCATAGTTACTCACAGTCATGAAGTTCAACCCCGTCGGCCTGCCCGCCTGCTGCCCAAATCCAGGAAATTGGCGCCGTCTTGGTTTTCTTCTTTTTTTGCAGCAGTCTCCTCTCTCGTAGGTCGCGATCCGTCTGCTGTTCGTAAGCTTCTTGCTGCATCTTCGTCACTCTCGATTTCGATACGAGTGTTCAAATGGGCCTTGTCCAATTTTTGAAACTCGGGAGCGTAACGTTTGCCTTTGAGGTGAACGAGAGCCTCGTAGCCTTCAGTATATTTGGCAGCGGCCTTCGTTACACCTTCTTCCATCCGAGCCATTAGAGTGACGGAGCGCGTTCTTGCACGTTGCCCCACCATGTTTTCCCCGAAAACCAAATCATGTGTTGCCGAATGAAGCCTCCCTCGTAAGGCAGCCAGTGCATCTGCACACTGTCCCCGACGCAATTTCGCTTCGGTCTCAATCAAGTCCGCCATGCTGACTTGTCGACACTCTTCCGCGGTTAACTGTGACGGAAGATAAAGCTTTGCGTTTTCCGGTTGCGCGTCCTCCGCGTCCAATTTATACCGCTGCGTCGTAAGACCCTGAACCCCAGGCATGTAAGTTAGTTGAAGTTTTTCGAAGGTGCGCATTTGTTTGATCAGAGATAGACGTAATTCTTGTATCTGGCTCGCTTGATCTGCTGACTTTTTTGCCTTCAGAGCAGTCCGTATACGACGCCTGGGGATAGTGAATAGAGTGTGTGGAATGAAGACTTTGACATACTGGATGGCCTGAAGCTGCATACCCGCTCTGATGAACGCTGTTATGGTCATTTTACCTTCCAGCAAAGGTTTGATTCCGGCTCGTGCATCTTCCACCTCAGCTCGTTTCAACTCTTCACTTATTTCGCGTTCACTAGGCCCGGCTGTCGAGACAGGTCATCAATGCTACAACAGGTATTCAACGTCATGCATACCGAGCTTCCCACCCTGGACTTCAAATGGATTCGTCTGGGTGTTATCCTTATACCAGGCATCCATCATCTTGGCCCATTCACGTCGTTTTTTTTTAGGAACGCTGTCGTCCAGCTCCTGGAATTCAATGCCCTGCCTTTGACGCTCTGCTACAGCGACAATCAAACGTCTTGCAAGTGTCCGCCCTTGCAAATAGTGAGCTTAAACTCTCAAAGAAACCTTAACTGACCCATGCTCCTGTTTTTCTCAAAATTAATCAGGTCGATCTTGTCCTCCAGGACATCATGACGGGCGCCTTCTCCCATTTCCTTTGTCGACCAACTTGCGGGATTGAGTAGGCTCCACAAACGCCGGTGCTTTCCCCATCCGTCTTTCCAACACCCAACAAGTACCTAAGCGCAAACTGAATTCGACATTTGGGGTCATGAGCTTCAGCATGCCAGACCGGCAGTCCGTATTGCAGGCGAATACGGTCCACCGGTGAATATCTCTTCGATATCCACGCCCGTTGTCTTCATTCGTGCGACGCTCAGGAAAGTATACTTGCCAGTGACATACGATGTCGTATGCAAGCAAGACCCACAGAACTTCCTCGTCTGACAGAGTTGATAGCACGGTCCAATCCACGTTTCCATAGCTGGCACAAAGAGTTAGTATCCAAGTTGTTCCTGGCATCAAGCAACTTGCCGTTCTCCACGTTGAAGGTCTCCCATCCCTCGACGACGTGCGAGGCCGTGCCGTGCACAGACACAACCAACTACGCCAGAAACTCTCAGGCCAGTGGTCAATTTGGTCTCCTTCTGCAAAAGAGCAGCAAACGCAGCACAAGCCTGGACCTGAAGTATCGCATTAACATGGAATAGATTCGACTAGAGCGCACTGATATCTTTTTCGTCAACGAGCGTTTTGATATGTTCTTTATATGGTCCAGATCGTACGAAGTATCCCAAGCCATCGGTCAACGCCGGATCCATGCGTTCTCCAGCACGAAGCTTGTTCTTCAGGCGGAAATTGGCATCGAATGCCAACATGAGCTTATACAAGTATCTGCACATTTGTTGGTCAAGAATAGTTTGATTAAATAGCTACTCACGCCTTCGACTCCGGAACCTTGTCCCATCCGGAAGGCAAGTTACGAGAAGCATCTGGGCATGCCCAGCAACGCACAGCCAACGCCCCTGGCGGCGTAGTTACAATTCCATTGGCTTCATGCCCGCGACCTCCACGCTTCATCATTTTAAGATAGCTGTATTGTCGAGCCATTCGACCGAAAGCAACGCGACGATCTGGGACCTTTTCCAGTCCGGTTGAATCCGTCAACTTCTCCAACGTGCGCACATAGTCTTGGACATTGATGTTTTGCGATGGAGCGCAGGAAGCGAAATGTCTCCAAAACGTTGAAGGTTGCACAGGTCGCAGGGTTTGTTGTCGTGGCCGGATACCACGCATTTCGAAGCAATTGTCTGACGGGGTCGAATCCGAACGGATTCACGCAGCCACAGTACTGCACGTCCAAAGTAAAAATGCCATTGACATCGATGACCACCAACGGTCGACGGTTACTGGGGAATGGGCATGGGGCACCGTCATGACCAAGTTGATAACAGCCCGCCAAACCACGAGCTCCATGCTGGATGGGTCCGGCATAAAACAAGGAGGCCTTCGTCCAGAAGTGACCCGTCCATTCCTAAACAAGCTAGGTAAACAAGTAACAAAATCGGTGAAGAAATAAATACCTGCAATTCATGGAGCGGCAATTTCTGATGAGCGGCTTCCACACAGGTCTCACAATGGAGTCCGTCCCCACATTGCTTGCAGCGAAAAAACGGAGCCCCGTCTCCTCCATATGATTGGCTTGACAATTCACACATTCTTGGCATGCGTTAGGGTTTCCGAGACCGTCTCTTCGTAGCATTTCCTCCAGAAAGAGAGCCGTCAGTGGTTGCCACATTGCCATAGGATCGTCCTAAGGGAATGAGCTTCTGTATAAAGTCGTAGTATCAACCGACCGATGCATAACGTTTTCTCTTCAATGTCGATTCTTCTTCCAGTTGAATCTCCAACGACGACACAGTATCCACCAGCTCTCTTACGTCCTCCAGTTGCGCATCTGGGAATGGCATCCAGTCAGCGAGTTCAGGTTGAGTTTCAATGACCTCTTGATTAAGGCGAGCCTTTTTTTTAGGCGATGGATTTGTCTGCTGGCTCAGCACGCGCTGTCCATCCAGAGAATAATGAACTTGTAGGTGGTTGAATTCCTCCTCAGCGGCGTCGTCAAAATATGTGTGTCGCACAACGTTGGGGAGTCGAGGCATGCGAAAAGATGGAGGCATCAACTTGATGCGCTGTCCATTTATTTCACGACAATTATTTCTTTTGGTCCATAAGTAATTACAGGCTACTCTGCGTCAACCTTGGCTGGCGAAGTTGGGGGAAGTTCAGGTCGGGTTGATTCCTTGACCTCCCGCGTCGGGCGCTATGTGAAGATAATGGCAGTCATAGAGACTGCCCGTCTCATCGGACAAGGCCCATCCCGCAGTCCAATCCACATTTTCATAACTGTCCAAAAATGAGGATCGCATTGCTCCCATAAGCCAAGAACTTGCCGCTCTCCCAAGTTGAAGGTTTCTTGGTGTTTCGTGGATCTTGTGCAGGACATGCGACTGCGGCTGGTAGATTCGCATCGTTTCAAAGAAGTTGGTCGGAAGGGGGCACCTCGCGGCGTCTGAAGTACAGTGTAAACCGTCACGGCTGGTGGATACAGCTCGCAACGTTCGAGAGTTTCGCGAAAGGGCTTTAAAGTACTGTGTAAACCGTCACGGCTGGTGGATACAGCTCGCAACGTTCGAGAGTTTCGCGAAAGGGCTTTAAAGTACTGTGTAAACCGTCACGGCTGGTGGATACAGCTCGCCAACAGCTCGCAGTGTCAAGGAACGAACTAACAATCGGAAGGGACCGCTTCCGAAGTCGTCACATCGTCATCACGAGTCGTCACATCGTCACGTATCGTCACACCTCATCAGACTTCATCGCACCAAGGTCACGATTCTGCCATTTTCTCAGTCTGGATCGTGTTGCGAAGGTACACGCTGAACACTGTTCGTTTCTCATGTCTGACAGTTGGCTGCAAGCACATTCTCACCGTGCTCAAGTTGTGCGAGCGAGCGAGCGACGACGACATTGAACACTCTCTTCCTTGTTGCTGGATACTCTCTTCCTTCCTCTCTTGTTGCTGGCTTAGACGCTAAGACGTCGGGTCGGGCCGTTTCTCAGATCTCAAGACTAGCTCAGACGCTAAGACGCCGGGTAACAACCATTCATGGCGTCATGCGAAATGTCGACGTCCGGAAATTCATTTGTGCGGCTGCTGCTACCTCTCAGCGCTTGATGAGGAGGAGCGACCAAAGGTAACTTAGCTCCCACCAAACCGGTACTCGACGTTAACCTCTGTTATCAAGACCTCCCCCAAACATTATACTGGTCTTGTGCGAAATAAGCCCGCAATTTTTTTCGTGTTCAACGGCGATCGGGCTGTCATTTACTCCATCCCCAGTCAGCGGCAAGCCCCTCCCACTTCCTCGAACAAAACGCTTGACGCGAGATGGCCAAAACGGCCTGGCTTAATATGGACCTACCTCACTTGTTATTTATGCCTCGTTTCCACATCTTGCACAATACTCTATTGAAGCCGCTGGACTTTCAGATCGGTGCAACCCCGCAAGAGGAGCTTGTTGTCCCGCATTTTCGTGGTGCGCAGCACGTTCGAGTTAGGGGTATGAAAGGTGACTTGCGTGATCAATGGCTCCGACTCGAGGGTTTTTTGCGAACGACCTTGACTTGGTTAGATCAAAATGTTATGAAAGCGCCAAAGGCTCCGACGGAACTCAAATCTAACGTTCGTCCGTGGCACTCTCTACCATCAACATTCGGGTATACACAACACTTTGACCTTGAATCCCCACAAGATCTACACAAAGCTGTCTTGCAATCTCTCCATGCTTTTCGCCCGCTGCTTGGGGCTATCACATTATTGACTCTAGTTCTCGATGACATTAAAATGCCAGGATGGCGCGAACGCTATATCAAGGAGAGTCAAGTGGATGCGGCACTGTGGGACGAACTAGAAGAAGTCGTTTTCCAGATTGCCGGGGACCCATTGGAGGTATCTTAGACTTTTCAAGCCCAGCAGCAATCGAGAAAGCTCGGTCTCTGGATTGGCTATTCTCCATGATATTGAAGAATGACATTCGTGTACCCTTGTATTTCTTCTTGAACAGCACCGATCCCGTTGTTCAATGCTCTTCCCTCCATGCGATGTTACCACCTTTCTGTCCAATCAGAGCACATACAGAAAGTTCGCAATCTTAGTGGCCAAGATGCAATCATGGAATGGACATTCATCGACAACGCTAGGCGCCGATTTGGAGTATTCCGCAATGCTGATTTCTATGCAACGTGCGCTCAAGCTGAGGAACTGCCAAAGAAGCCGCCAGGGGAAATGCCGCGGTTGATCCGAATAGCGGCCAAAGATTCGGCGAGAGTTATCAAGATTTTTTCCTGCGGCGCACCAGACACAACACGGCGATCAATTCCGCGGAGGAGAAGGCACAGCTTAAAAAACGACAAGAGCGTGTCACGAAGATGCAAGGACTGGGTCCGAGTTCGAAGAACACACAGGTTTTCATGTGGAATGCTTATGACGGCTTTTTGATACGCAGACCGATAACACATTCATTTGCTGTCAGTGTGTGGAAAGATTATGAGCCCTATCAACGTGTCTATGATGTGGGCTCGAATCAATGGGACCTCTGTCCTGGAATCAGGACTTGGGAAGAGAGCACGGCTTTGACGACAATCGCAGATGATCCGGCGAGGACGAGAACCAGTCAGAACTCTGCTCCGGGCCAAGCAAAAACCTCGAATCGGGTCAAAGTTCTGATGATCAGTCCGATGACTCCGAGTCTAATTCGGGCCAGCTGGAAATTCCAAACTCTCAACTTGAATCCCATCCGGTGACTTTCGACAGCGAGTCTGTAGCGAATGGTGTCGGGGATGATGTTCAGCTGGAGCCTGACGACAAGCTGGAGCCTGACGACAAGCTGGAGCCTGACGACATCGAGTCTCAAGTGAGCGACTTCGAGTCGAACACGGTTGGGATAGCCAGTGTCAGTGATGTTGCCGACGACTCGGATGCCAGTGGTCGACCTGCCTTCCCAAATCTTCCCGTAAATCTTCCGGATAACATGTCGTTGTTGCTGAACGATGGAGGTGGAGCCTCCACCAATGTCGTCGCTTTCTACGAGTC